CGACCGGAAGAGAAGGATCCAGCGAACCAAGGAAGCCGAGCGGCTCCCTGCATGCGTACCCTAACCGAGCGGCTCCCTGCAAGCGAAAGCAGCGACCGTGAAGCCGAACAAGACTTCTCTAGAGCCCGACCCCGTGCCTAGTCCCGATCTGAACTTTTTAAAGAGCTCGGCTGGTTTGGAGCCTGACCCCGTGCCTAGTCTCGATCTGAGCTTTTTTAAAGAGCTCGGGTGGTTTGGTTTAGTAAAAAAAAAATGAAAACCTTTATTTTTCGACCTTTATTGTCGAACAAGACAATTCTAGGAAGCCTTAATTGCTTTCCAATGTCAGAAATAAACTCCTCTCAAAGTGTTGATCAAACTGAGGAATCGATGGCGCACCAAGGTCGAGGTGACCTTCAAAGCATGCAACCTTCCTATCGTCTAAATGGGAAGAACTACCTAAAGTGGTCTCAATTTGTGAAGACCTACTTGAAGGGGAAAGGGAAAATACATCACCTCCTTGGAGGAGGACCAAAAGAAGGAGATCCTATTTGTGGGGCATGGGATGAAGCAGACTCCATGATTATGTCATGGTTATGGAATTCTATAACTCCAGAAATTAGCGATACATTTATGTTCCTTTCAACTGCAAAGGACATATGGGATGCTGCCAGACAGACCTCCAAAGCTAGAGATGCGGCCCAAATCTTTGAAATTAAAATCAAAGTTGGAAGTACAAAGCAAGGGAGTAAGACCGTGACGGAGTATGCCACCATTCTACAAAATCTGTGGCAAGAACTGGATCACTATAGGTGCATAGAAATCAGATGTCCGGAAGATGCTGCGATCCTAAAAAACTTTATTGAAAAGAATAGAGTTTATGATTTTCTCGCAGGACTAAATGCAGAATATGACCAAGTTAGGGTTCAAATTCTTGGCAAGGAGGAGATGTCATCACTCAATGAAACCATTTCCCTCATCCGCGCAGAAGAAAGCCGACAAGGAGTGATGTTAGAACCGAAGGCAGTTGAAAGCTCAGCAATGGTAATGAACAAAGAATCGTCATGGAAGGAGAAGGGTAAAGATTCTTCAAAGTTCAAAGACAAGGATTCACTTTGGTGCAGCTATTGCAAAAAGTCAAGACACACAAAAAAAACGTGCTGGAAAATACATGAAAAACCCCCCAACAAGGAGTGGAATCAAAAGGGTGAAACAAAGAGCACATCACATGCTAACAACACTACAAGTAAGCCAGAAGCACAGTCCAGCCTTGAAGAATTCAATAAAGAAGATATTGATAAATTAAAACGACTTCTGGTATCTCTTGAAAAACCAAATGCTTCTTCTTCACTAACACTATCAGGTAAGACTCTAATTTCTTTTAGTTTAAGTGCTT